AATAAATTATAGGTTTCAACTTTATTATATTCAAAGGCAACACAATTATATTTTCATTAACTCACTTCGTACTCCAAAAGCTAAATATATTCTCTGCCATAAATGTTTAGAATCGAAATATATCTTGCGTAACAAGGTGCAGAATGTAATAGTAGTTACTTAGCTCAACACTGGCTGAATTAATGTAAATCTAGTAAAGTTTATGCAACCGAATCAGACCAACAATAAAATGGTTAGGCAAGAGCCTGTATTTTATTACTCTGCTGATTACCTCCCGATTTGGAAGCTTGTTCAAATATAGGAAAGGTGGGCTAACATCGTAGTTGGCATCGTCAGTGAGTCTCGCCATTCGTAGCACCACATTACAACTCGTCAAACAGTCAAGAGACTTGTCTCCGTCTCGAATAACCCCATAATAAGTTCGTTTACATTGCTCGTTTTTGTGCTTTTTGTTTGATCATAAAGCTTGCTTTTTTGCCTTGATGATGTCTGCAATATAACAACCGAAAGCTCACCTTCAATTCATCGGAGTGGGGGAACGATGAGGTATGGACTTATTATATCTTATCTACAAACACAATGCAGACTTGTTTACTAATCCCGTCTAATCGCCACTTAAAATTAAACGAAGGTTACACCGCCATCAAGCTAACAAGGGATTTGTATAAACTCAGATTTATTTATATTTCTCCAGATATATTTGTTATAAGGTTTCATGCTCATACGCAATATTCTATATTGAGGTAACCTAATAATCCACAAACGAAAGGATATCTTAACTCAAAACCGCCTGCCAAGGTTTTGGGATTTCGAACCTATTAAGTGCTAAAAATATTACCTAAATATTTAACAGATGTTGTTGTTTATAGAAAGTCGTTTTGTTACATATGAAGACTTCACGGTCAACTTAAAGAGTATGCAATAATTTAGATGCTCATCAGCCACAAGTCGTCATTCTTTCTGCAATTATCATTCATTTACATAGACAAAACGAATAATCAATAGATATATTGTGTATTTTAATCTATTTTTGAAAAATCCATAATTAACTTAGAATATTTATGAAAAAAACGATATTATTATATTTTTCATATTATTTTTAATTGTATAATAAACACGATATAGTAATGTCTTTCTGAATGTTACATTTTGTCCATCGACTAAATAACTCATTTGTTGCGCGCCGGTATTGATTCTCCTCTCGTGTCCATTCATGAGTCTCCCCGTCTTTATTTCTTGCGATGAGGCTAAGCAAGTAAATTAGCTATCCTAAGATTATACAACAGATTACTGAGCTTAAATCATACTTAAAGGCTAAGGGCGCCAAGGGTCTTGATTCCATACCAGCTACCGCAGAAAATTGGGTTGAGGATCTTAAAAAATGCATATCCTATATAAGCATTTGCTGGAAGGATGATACAATCAATGATTCGGGTATGATTAATTATTTCTCACTTTCAAGATGCTGATGATATATTTACTACCGTCGCATCCGCTATTTTGAGTCTTCCTCCTCAACATCTACCTGAAATTGTGGATTTGTTGTGTAAAGAATATGAAGGTTTTTCTGGAGAAAATATTCGTAAACATTTTGTGATGCTTCTTTCGTAATATAACTTATGTAATATCATTTTAGTCTAAATGTCATATTTTCTGGTTCTCCTTACAATAATAAATGCAAATACAAGGCTTATTATGCAATCCTCACTTGTGCCGCTAAGCGCAATACATTACAACAAGTCGTAACAAATTCTATTAAAATATCTGAATGGCTGGATGAAATTGATGCATCAGTAGACGAACGTCGTGAATTGTGGAGAAAATTACATGAAGTTCACGCTGCCTGTGGTGACACAAGACGAGCTAATGAATTCATGATCCTGCTACTTTCAACCTATGACGAGGCAAATGCAGCAACGGCTCGGTGTGATGCCGTTAGGTAAGGATTCGTATACTCTTATTTCCAGATGCATCATTTCTGTTATCAATGATGTTGCTATCCTGGCTCACGATAAGCTCTTGTCCATCAAACCAATTCAATTCCTAGAAGGTGAACCTGTTCATAAGGTACTTTAAATTATGTGTAATATATAGCTTCTTACTATATTTGTTAATGGTACTCTGCAAG